GGTGGCCTAGGCTTTCTCACAGCAACCTTTATTCTGACGGTTCGACCTTCAGGAGCAGGAGCAGGAACAGAAGCATCCTTCGTCAACTTTCGCCTTTTTAAGGGGGCAGGAGGGGAATCACTCTCTTCATCACTCCCAGATTCGACCACCAGTCCTGGCCGTTTCTTGGGCGAAGGTGCCTAAAAAACCAATGGGAATTCAACTTAGCAATTGCATCAAAAGTTGAAAATCGAAAGTCAGAAGAAATGATGAAATTCTGGTTACCGATACAGAAGGCTTCTTCGAAGGGCCTTCCCCCTGTCGGTTGGCTGTTGTCTTCGCCGGCGCTATGGTCTTCGCCGACGGTGGAGGTTTTGTTGAGGGACCTCCTCCCTGTTGGCCTTCTGTAGCCTTCTTGGCTACAGGCTTTCGAACAACTGAAAGCAAATGAAAAAGTTAACAGGCTAGCAGTCGAAGAGGAAGATAAAAAGTAATGTGAGAGAGTGAACTTACATTTCTTTACTTTGTCCAACACAAGGACAAAAGACTTCTGCAGCTCAGCCATGAAGTCTTTCTCGTCGAAGAAGTACTCAGCATAATAGCTTCTCCACCACTCCTCGAAGGATGGTGAACAAAGAAAATTAAGCTGGTAGTTAAACAGCGAGAGGATTGTTCGACCAGCATATCTTCCGATATGCTTGATGGCAGCTTCTTCTGTATAATCGTTGCAGAAGTACAACATTGATTTCTCTCTTTGAAAAATCGGAGAAGGCAGGGTTTGGATAATACCAAACTGGCGAGATACCAGATTTGGTTGGTAGGCAATCAGACTCAGATGAGTCTTAGAACTCTTGAATCGAAGAGGCATGATCCTTGGTGTAAGGAACGCCTCCCAAAGTATTGTATGCTCATCGACGTTGGGACCACTCGACTCCTTTGGATGTGTTCTTGTGAACCATGCTGGCCCCACCCGCCGTTGAGCAAATGGAGCCATAGTTGAAACAAATTCCTTCCTTCGAGCGAACATCAGAACGAAGTTAGTGAAGGTATGTTGAAACTCCAGTCCATCGTCCGTAGGTGTCAGCAGAGCCAGCCTGATTCCTTCGATGCGTCTATTCGCTATCGCTGGAGCTTGTTCATTTATCTGAGCCTTCTTGGGCAAGAAAGATTCGAAAGTGGCATTGAGCCACAGTTGAAGTAGCCAAAAAGGCCCAGCGAGTAGCAAACTGGCCTTGTCCTCGATATGTTTCAGAAGAGTGGCCCCATTGCTGATCGAGTCATAAAGACTAGCCAGAATCAGTTCTGCCAAACAGATGTTTTGGCGGTGATGCAGTTGGGTAGCAAGAGTGACCATCTTTTTGGTCACCTGTAGAGACTTCGAGCAAAACACAAAGCGAGTTAGCCATAAGGCTAGAAACGCTATGTGTTCGACATCTGACACCGCATCTGTCGACCTGTCGTGATAATGGTTGATAAAAGTGGTGTATGTTGGCTTGGTCTCAGAGAAGCCAATTTGGTCCTCCGACATCCCCTCCGGATCGAAGTAATCACCGGTGGGTCGAAGGCCAGTAATAGCGGCCGCATCAAAGAGTGTGGGGGTTAGCATCCCACAGGGGAGATGGAAAGTAAAGTGGGAATAGTCCCAGAACAGCAGTGAAGCTATCAGCATCTCCGGGGAGTAATTCAAACCTGTCTTCGACAGCATCACTAAGTCGAAGATTCCCATATCCTTCCAGATTGGAGTTTGATGCTTCTCCATCTTTGTTAACCAAGCAACATAGTCGGAGGTAAGGTTGGGGCAAGACCTGAAGACCCTAACACCTCTGTTGAAGAAGCGGAGGTCGATTTTTTCACGTGCCGGGTCTTCATTGTCTTCTGCGTCTTTCTTGGCGCATGCGACTGGTTTGAGTTTCTCGACTATCGGGAAATAGCTCTTGATCTTCAGAGCCTCAGAAATACTTGGATTCATGGGGCCAGACATTGCAAAGATCTGGTTGGAATATCCAACCGGGATCATCAAGTGGCGCGAGTAAGCATCGCGAACGGCGATGTCAGAAGGTTCAGGAACCCTTCGTTTGCCTGTAGAGTTTACTACTGGGGCAGTGACGAAAACCTTGGGTTTAGCATGTTCAGTTGGTGCGTTAGCACTAGGAGCAGTAGAACCAGAGGCCATGGTTTGTTGTTGAGTTTGGAATGAGGTTGAAGACGAAGTGAAAGAGGGAGAATTTCTGCAAAGTTAACAAGCTTGTATGAAAATGGAAGTCTGAGAGCTAGTTGGCGTGAAAAGTTCCAAAATGTGGTACTTACTACTATTTATAGTAGTGGGGAAAATCCCCAATAACGAGGACATTTAATTCCATTTAATGATGCAGGAGTTAGTGGGACGCGTGGCAGCCCCTTGTTGTTTTGGCCGTTTCTGCAGAAGTAGAGAGACGCAGCGTGCGTCCTCGTTTTTAGGATTTGTCATAATGACAAATTCTGAAATGACGTTTGGTACTGCACGTCGTACTGAAAGTGACGTCCTAGGATCAAATCAATGATGGTTTCTTGGGATTGCCAATAGTTGGTAAAAAGCAACAAAAAGTGCACAAGTTAACTTGTGACTAAGCGTGGAAAGACAGGTGTCGAATGGCGTTTCAAAGAATGTCTTTTTCTTTCAGAGTCGAAATAAGGCATTCTTGGGGGGCAATTTGTTGGCTCCTAAATTCGACACCTTTGTTTTGATTGATGTCAGCCATTAAAGCTGAAGGATGTCTTCGACTGGCTTAGTCTGTCGAAATGCCCGTCGAAAGATGGCAAAGTACTTAGAAGAATTCTTCCAAGGAAGAAGGCTGATTGCCTTCGACGTCGAAGGAGTTTCTCGTCGAAGATGTCTCTTGACGAAAGTGTTCGATGGTTCAGAGTGGAGCAGTTTGAAATTCAAGCTTTTGGAGGGAAAACGGTTTCCAGCAGTTACCACGTGCAAACGTGCAAGGATCTGGAGCGTCGAGCATGGAGAACGTGCCAAGTGGATTGATCTCGAAGCAGTGTAACTGCCCGACGGTTACTTGGGATGTTTTAGTATAAATAGGAGTAGACATGTAGTTTCTCGCGTGTGTTCACAATTCTATACATAGTCACTCATTTAGATTCGAGTACCCAGCGTGTGAGAAAGAATTGTTGAGAAATGTATGTGTGAAACACCAATTTTATCAATTAAAGTCATTTACTTTCCCAGAATTTTACTTGCTTTTCTCTTTACATTTCCTGTCGAACCTTTACTTTAAAGCCTTGTTTATTTTACCAAGTCTTTCATTTATGCAATTCATTTAAAGCCAATTTACTTAAAGCCTTATCCAACTTAATCAAACTTCAAAATCAACCTATGTCCATAGGATCAATCTGATCGATCCTGCGAGTAACCAAATAAGTAACCATTTGGAGGATCAGCGGTTGTTTACCAAAACCCAAGGTAAACAGGAGGTGAAACCCTTATTTATAGTGCAATCGAGCTCCTTTAAGGTCATGCATGTTTCTATTTTTCCTCGTGCGACCGTTGCAATCAAGTTGGTATAAACATTAAAAACTAATGTTTAACCAAGTATATCACAATAACAATGGCAAGCCATTGTGATTGTTGCCATTCGAGTAAAGATCAACGATACAATTAACTACATTATGATTGTTTGAAGGTATATGCTTTTTATCATGAGAAAAGTGACGTGGAGAATAAAAATTTCATATATTTGACGACTTTAAAAAATTGAAGGCAATATGTTAGTGTATTTATGTCATAAAGGAATACAATTGTTTGAAATTGAGAATAAATCCAAACCATTCGTCAGATAAAAAAGCCCATCACCAAAATGAGCCCAAGTTATATACGTTTGATTCTGCGTGCCGATATTGCAATTACTAACCTTATATTGTTATAAAACAAATCTCAAGATAGATTGCCAACGCAAAAACACACGAAACCCTAGATCTACAATTACCATCTTCTATCTCCAACGCAAACATAACTTCCCATATGTCACTCTTCGCTCTCATCATAAATACCACCGCCATCAGGATTTCCCCTTGCAAAACCTTATACCAAACATCGAGATCTCATAGTCGCATATCAATCCCATTTATATGTGCACTACTAAACTCAACACAGTCAACGCTCATATCGATGATTCTTCAATGCACAAGATCTCGCTTGTTCCCCCTTTTCATGTTATCGACAACATCCTTTCAGTGCGAGGTAATATTTCTTTAGCACTTGTTTGCATCAAATCGTCATCTATACAATTATTGTTCGAAGAGATATTTCATTATTTAAAAAAAAAATCAAATCAAATACAATCAAACTTTATTTATTAACATTATTATGTTTAAATAAAAAATATGATTTCCTCGACGTTGCTCTAAATTTAAATCTTAAAATCTATAGTACATCATATCATATGAATTAAAAAGTCTGAATCATCTCAATTTCTTAGAAAAATGAATAGTTTTGTATAGAACATAAATACTTGTAAAAAATATATTGTTGTATCAATTTTTTTGCTTAAACTTATTCATTCATGTTGAATAATATACAAGTTTGTGTAATCTTTTAATTTTGTAAGAGAAGACTTTGTCAATCCTAGTTCAAGGAAGAGATAAAAAAAATTAATCAATACTTATTTTAAATTGAAATCAATTTCTCAATCTCTTGTAGTACTAGTAATTTTGAAGTGAATTTCTTCAATACTACTAGTACATAAAATTCCGCACGTGCACACTTCGCACAGTGCTGAAAGGAAACACAAACTACTACAGCTGACGCCAAAGAAGGAATTGCGAGAGCACACGGATCGATGACATGTACACACATTCTTTTCATTATCCCGCTTAAATGCGTACTCCAAATTTCACTTTCCCCCCACATTGCTCTCACGCTCACATTCAAAAACCCACACACGCTCTCATTTTTCTCACAATTCGCAAAACCGAATCCACTCTCCCAAACCCTATCTCTCCCCCGCACCGTTTCTCTACGAACTCCGATCATCATGCCTAAGGCCACCTCCACCGCGAAACCCGCTGATAACCTGTGAGTTTCTTCTCCCGGTTGCTTCGCATTGCTTGATTCAGTTTTGCGGTTTGAATATATTCGTTTTTTGTTTTCCGATCTAATGTTTTCGATCTCTTGTTCGTTTTTGTCTGTTAGGTTGAAGCGCAAGGGCGCTGGTGCTGGAACTAAGCAATCTAAGAAAGCTGCGAAGGATCCTAACAAGCCTAAGAGGCCTCCAAGTGCTTTCTTCGTTTTCATGTATGTTTTGGTGTTGAAAACTGTTCGATCTGCTTTTTTTTATGGTGAATCGGTTTCTGATATTAGTTGTGTGATTTTGTTATGGTTTTAGGGCTGAGTTTAGGGAGTCTTTCAAGAAGGAGAATCCTAACAACAAATCTGTTGCTGTGGTGAGTTTTGAGACGTTAAGTTACTGTTCTTGATATATTTTAGAAATTTAAATTTGAATTTGAATTTGAGTTTTCTGATGCGTTTTTCATTGAATTTTGAATAGGTTGGCAGGGCTGGAGGAAAAGAGTGGAAAGCACTCTCTGAAGCTGTGAGTAATTTGCGTTGTTAATTGATCTTAACTGATTATGCTAATTCGATTTTTTGATTTTAAAGTCATTTTATGTGTTTATTTTAGGAGAAGGCTCCTTATGTTGCTACTGCAGAGAAGAAGAAGGAGGAGTATGAGAAGGCTATCCGTGCCTACAACATTTCATTGGTAAATTCTTTGTTTAATTATTGACCAAATTTTACTTTGATTTGTGTTATCAATTGTGATTGATTGAAATAAATTTTGTGTATTAGACTGAAGGAAAAGCTGCATCTGAGGAAGAGGGATCTGACAGGTCCAAGTCTGAAGTCAATGATGAAGATGATGATGATGTAATATTACTATCGTTTTTACTTTTCTATGCTTTGTAGGTGTTTGTTTGATTGGTTGTTGTGTTGATTTTGATTTTATTGCTCTCTTTATTTTTCAGGAGTCTGACGAGTAGAGTTGCTGCTCTTCAAAGATGAAGAAGCGTAGTAGTAATTGCCATAGAATAATAATTTGTTAGTTTTTTCATGAATTAAGGGGGACATTTTGGATCCACACAGCTGTTTGTAATAAACAGTTCTTAGTGCTTTAGGTTTATATTAGTGCATAATCAAGTCTAGGTTTATCCCCATGACCTGTACTTATTCCACCTCTATTATTAATACAAAACTCAGTTTTTCTATGGTACAATAGTTTTATTTCTCTGTGGATTGCTATTGTTATATTCTTTTGAATGAAATATGTCACTACATTCTCCCAATTGAATGTTTATCATTTGTTGTGATCCATACGTAGTTTGTTAACGGTATGAAGCAACCGGCCCTTTGTTTTCTTTATTATTTATATTTAAATATTTAAATATCAGCCATGGACGTGAGCTAGTATATTGTATTTTAATATGTACAAATAAAAAAGGGCAGTTAATTTGAGTTCATTCACTATTTTAGAGTTTATAAACCTTTTCAGTAACAACTTTGCAAAGTTTATTTTGGCCTTTGGAAATGTGATATTGTGTGAAATTGCTGAGTTGAGCACGTATGCATATGATATTTTCAAAGGTTGGTGTCAATCTAGGGAACGATTGTATTTGTAGTTCCATTGGGATATGTATTGTTTGAGTGAATTGTTTGCTCAAGATTGGCTTGGTGGTAAATTTCATGAAAAATTATAGGGAGAGTTCAGGGTATCAAATTTTAGAACCGGATGTAATGATTATTTAGCGATTTCACAACAAGAGAGAATTCGTTTTAAAAAATAAACCTAGTTGTTGACATTGTGATTAGTGCCACGACTATTTATAGCTAATAATATTCTTCAAAAGTTTCACATGCATTTATTCTTTTTCTCGTTAATAGATGACTAACCAAGTGAATTACTAGTATGTCCTCAATCCTAAATCATTATGAAATTTTAATTGCCACATAATTAAATACTAAAACTTAAAAGTTTAATTGAGTAATGTGTAAAACTTTTAAAAAATAATTTCAACTTATTGAATATTCAGCATTTGCGAAGATTGAGAAACAGAAACAATGTCTGGTGCTGGAAAATGTTTGCTAGTGACAGGTTCTCCTGTGAGTAAATCCTTCTCCTATTTCTGTTTCTCTTTGAAATTTCTGTTACATCCATTGTTACTCATCATTCACTCATTCATGTAATTGATTGATTTTCAGGGTGTGGGAAAAAGCACTCTTATTATGAGAGTCTTCGATACCCTCAAAGCCTCAAATCCTACCCTCAAGGTTCAGGGTTTCTACACTCGTAAGAATCTCTTCCTATCCCTTCACCACCCTTCTCCAATTCCCAAAACTCTTCAATAGTTTGATTGGTTTTGTAGGTGAAGTTAGACTCGCAGGTGAGAGGGTTGGTTTCGAAGTTGTCACTCTTGATGGTCGCACTTGCCCACTCGCTTCTTCCAAATTTTTAAGGTTCTATTTTTTATTCTGTTGCTAATTATGAAGCACATGAATAAATAAACTTATATCAGTTTTGGACACAAGACACTGACACACATTTTCAGAGGTGACACTAAAGATACTATTTTTAAAAAAAAATTCTGAATGTTGTGTTTCTTGGTGATATTGGTGCCCGTTATGCTTTTATTCGATGTTTTAGAAAACCTAACCGGACATTGAATTGATGAGACCTCATAATCATGATTCAACTGTTTGAACTGGGATGAAACCACAATCGAACCGCGTAAATCACCTAATTGTAGACAATGCTGGTTTGTATCATGAGTTTCGTTCGGTTTTTAAAATATTGCTTTTAGCCAACAAAGAACAACTTGAGATGTCTTTTTAGGTGTTTCTGAAAATGTTGTGGCATCACAGAATTTGGATTAGATGCAGCCAGAATACCGCGCCGTCACTGCAGTTAGTAGTACATCTAGACCGTTGCATTAAGTTTGGACGGTTTTAATTCCAAGTTTATATTTGTAATTTGCTTTTGTGAAGTCGAAACATGAGCAATTTTGGTGCGAGCACCGATATGTGTGGACTGTTGTGACTTCATGTTATTTGGCAGCATAGCAGACAATCCAGATCCTACAAAACAGTCTTGTTTAGTTTTGTCAGAGCTTTGCTTATTTGACTAAAGGGTGTGTTATTATTTAATGGCATTGGCAGCCAAGAGTCTCACCGGTGGCCTAATGTTGGGAAGTATAAAGTTGATGTAGCATCTTTCGAGTCACTAGCACTGCCTGAGTTGCAGGTGAGCTCGCTTTTGCATATTGCTTGTCGCCGATGTTTCGCTTACACATTTTTCGTAACTTTATGGAAGAACATTGTCATAGTAGGTGGAGACAAAATGAATGTTTTTTGTCTAATATATGACCATCCTCCATGCATTTAATTGCATATAAAAAACGTGGTACTGGTAGGGCGCTCTTTAGCTGCTCCCTTGCATTTCTGAGTGTAAAATTGTCATTCAGGATATACAAAGATGTTATTTACAGATGCCCATATCTTAGACCACTCTCTGAAATTTGAAGAGACACACTTGATGACTAGGTTAGAGAAGACACTGATCTTTTCATCATTGACGAAGTTGGTAAGATGGAGTTATACAGTTCGTCATTTTTCCCTGCAGTTCTAAAAGTTTTGGAGTCAAATATCCCAATTTTGGCTTCCATTCCAGTTCCAAAATTTGGCCGAGATATACCTGCAGGTAAATATGTTTCTTTTTTGGCATGGGCAATTTTTCTTTTCTCGACGCTTTAAATAATTGAGATGAGACAAATCTGTCGCGAGCCTTGATAACCATATATCTCAAAGATCTGCTGATGTTTTGAAGAATTTAACGGATTTGCCGAACCTGTTAATGACTTATGTTGTGCATTTTCGCAGTTGCAACATTGAGGAATCATGCAGGAGCAACTTTGTTTACTTTGAGTGTTAGTAACAGAGACGCTGTTCGAGAACAGATACGCTCACTTCTGGAAGATCTGTTGATAAAACACTAGTTGTTGCAAAGTTTGTCTTCTGAACTCATGCTATGTGGAATTTTCTGTAAGTTCTAAATGCTTTGTAATAGGGATTGCCATCTGTCACAACCACGGGCTAATATTACTCCAATTAGTGAAATAAAAGGAGAAAATCTCAACGCAATTTGGATGTTGCATTTTAACTTTGTCCCGTTTTTAACAGTTGACATTTTAATTTGCGATTGTGCATGTATGCAAATATTCCAAGGTGGAAATAATTCTACAAAATAATTCTCTCCAAAGAGACAAAAGGCGTAGAGAAAATATAAACAAAAGGTTATGATATTTTGATTTACAAATTCCATAGAAAATGACTTGTTTACGCTTGAATTAGTGGCGGGTCTTTATCAATATAATGTATAGCATAAAGTCGGAGCACTTGTTGTTTCATTTGTGTACTGCTGGGAGCATTAAGTGCGATGGTCAAGCTTCTTTACTCTGCAATCCACATGTGACAGTAACAACGATGGTTACTAGCATAAGAAGCAAACTAGCACAGAATATATAAAGCTTTAAAATTAATATACAAGTAATTGAAAAAGGATAACAAAATTAATGAACTTAGTACCTTACTGGTCTTATCAACTTTGTTTATCCTGTTCAGCATTTCGCAGCACCTGTTTTGCCATTGACAAAAATGATTTTGCCTTATTTTGTATCTCTTTAGTACGTAGCTCAATACCCTGTCAAATTATAGGAAAATGTGTAAAAAATATATAGTGAAATTTTCATCTTTCTTATTCTTGCATTAGTTATTGTCATGTGCTAATTGGTAACAATATACTGCATAATTTTTGTGCCTGTCGACGAATAATATACCTGTAATTTCCTTGTATTTTCCTGGAGCCTGCTTTCTGCAGATTTAGCAACACTTGTTTCCTGCAGCGCCTGATTCGTGATTAGTATTCGTATTTCTGAAATAAGTCTTTGTGAATAATTGTTTCATAGAAATTGCAATGCCATAGGTGTAACTATCCCATCAACTTATAGAATTCAAGTACAAGATGGGGCTAAAGTTTATGATGTATGTGAGAAGGATACTGGTGCGGATCCGAATAACAGAAACAGTAAATAGAAGAAAACAAAATAACAATGGCTAAGAAAGAGTGTACGATTTCTGAAAATCAAAGGAAAATACAATAGTATGGGATTCTATTGTCCACATAGCTAAGCTCCTTCAGAGAACAAATGCTCTATGCCCTTAATAAGCTATATGATTCTACCTGATACCCTTCTCTCTCCACTGAGCATCCTTATAACATAACTTTCCCTGACAAATATTTTCCAATTTCTTTCCTCTCACTCTCAGCCATGTGGATATTCCCATTTTGACCTTCTCTATTTCTTTCAGTGTTGTCCATGGCGGTCCATGCCGGAGAGCCAAAATCCCACCACAACAGCCGCTTTGTGGCAACATTATAGCGGATTATGGCGGAAAAACCCACAATATCGGCCGATATTACCATTGCGGTGAGCCAAAAACTGCCATGTATATCTGCCATAGCAGCCATGATGCCCTGCTATTTTCTTTTAATATAAACTCCCCACACTATAGGCCTAGCACAGCACTAACTGTTCTTTTGAGCCAGCTTTCTCATCCCCGGTCCTATCAGATATCAAGTTACAAGTTATAACTCGTTGTGGAGGACACTTCTTGAGATCTATTGCTATTAAACCCATAGTTTTAAAGTTGAAATATACCATTTTCATGGTAATTGTTATGCTCAAAATGGTAAATATATCATTTTCTCGATTGACTCTTATCGATACTGATCAATCTTGACACTCAAACTACATTTGCATAAACAGATACGCTTACCACCTCCTAGGCAACACATTTAACTTGTAATAATGCACCATACTTGTGAGCTGTTACATTACAGAATGCAAGACAATCCTTAAAATGAATAGCGGATATGATAAATTTTATCCTTACATTGGACGAAGAAGAAAATCCATATTTTTTCTTAATTTGACTGACTGCACCGATTTTCTCATCTTGTTGCTCTTCCTTATCTGATGCTTTATGGCTGTCGCCCTTCATCTCTCTCACTTTTCCTGCATATTGATGCCCAATATTATTTACCATTATGCTTAACACTGTATTTTGCCACAAACCAAAGACAAAACTTGAGAGATCGTTATCAATTTGACCTTTAGTACTGGAATACATAATAAGATCCCGACCTTTGTATAAATCCCTTATATTAGCTCATGTTTCATAGCATCTAGAGTATTTCATTCAAGTTCTTGTTTCTTAGGTCAAATGTGAACATAAGAAACAATAGTTTGCATAAAATTGAGCTCATTGTAACAAACCTTTCAAAGCCTGAAATTTGCCAGCCAATTTCTTCTTATTAAGAACTCCTAATATGCTTTGTTCTTTGCGTACTTCTCTATGGTTCTCCAAATCCATGTCATCTATATAGGAGGAAAAGAGAATATCTTAAATTGGTTGCCATAAACTCTAGTATCTAAGTACTATAAAATGCATTATATGGAAAAATAAGCTGAACTGCCTCTGGAAGCATATTGACATGTAACTGGAATTTAGTCATGTTTTATGTAATAGTTATACTTATGTCATGCATATCTGAGGCATTGTTATACCTAAGCTTGATTCTAGTTTACTTTCATCCACAATGTTGGCATCCAGCGGAAAATTTGCATGTGAAAATATTGCAGAGAGTTCCTGGATATTTTCTTTAGGATCTTCTTTTTCCAAGAAGGGCATATGCTTTTCTTTGCCGCCAGTAAAATCTTTGATAACAGAGTTGAATATGCCCTACACAGACAAGATTCAATACATTCTGTATCCAAAATAATGGATATAGTTGGATAAGTTATTCATATATGTTTATGTCAACCTTCTTGTTTTCCTTATGTATGACTGAGTTAGGAACAAGCTCCTTTTGTGATATCATCCTTTCCTTCCCGTAGATGCAACTGACAGAGTCCAAAAGCCTACAAAGAAGTTAAAAATCATGTAATGAGACTACTACCAGTATCACTTTCATCTTTAGTTGCCAGTTAGAAAAGCAAAAAGTTTCATCTTTAGTTGCCAGTTCGAAAAGCAAAAAGCAAAGATTAGACTGTAGGTATCGTTCCTTGCGGGGAGATTGATAACAAGAATCTCAGTTGCATTCTTTAACCATATATACCTGAAAATATTCCTATGGACCAACAATGAGACAACAAAAATTTCCTGGTCACCATTCACCTGTAAACCGAATTTGAGTTAATTTGATATCATAAATATCAGAAGCTTGTTAATCTAGTGAAAGATTCTGTCATACCAAAACAATGTCTCCTCTGGATGAACAGCATATCTGTTTGTCAGAAAATGACTTCAACTTCGGAGGTGAATAAGTGAAACCTCTAATTGAAATCTTCACTATCAAAGATAAGTCTGGTAAAGACCTAAATCAGAAAAGAAAACGTAAAGAAAAAAACAATGCGCCATGGAAAAATAATACTCAAACTATTGGTATGTCTAATTCTATGAATGTCGTATACTCATCCACCTTAATTCTACTTTTCCACTGGTGAAAAGTAGTACGAGACCAATATTAGAGGCACTGTAAAATGTCGATGCCCAGCAACAGGAAGAAGAGAACTTCTTTTTGTAAACCACCTTTTTGATTCCCTAAAGCAATAGAGTAATTTCAAGCATTAACTAATCTTCTGGTTCGTTGTAACTCGTAAGGATAGAAGTAAAGAACACTGTACCTGTAGAGCATGCTCAAATGAATATATATATAAAGCCTTCTCAGAACACAACAAAATTTTCTTTGTTGTTGCATCCTCAATATGATTCCCTTCTCTCAAATCAAAGCTATCTTTTCTCACCGATCTTGTAATTGGTTCACATTGTCCATCTGTGTAACATAGTGAAAAAAAACTCTAGTCCTTCACTGCCATTAATAATAGTTTTGACATTTGTATCCTAAACCGATTTTTTTTCCAGATCATTGATTATTTTTGTCAACATGTTTTACTAATTGGTCGCTGTGTCAACTTTGCAAACTTTTACCTAACACATTCATAAATAGAGCTTTAGATGGCTTCTTAGGATGAACATATCCAGTGCTCATCATGTTTCCAGTTTCGCTATCCAGTGCTAAAACCGACGAATCCTTTGTTCCGATTGCTAAGATGTTTTTCTCGAAACCGTATAACCCGCAGGTTATGAACTGCAGAGAGATTATAACAGAAGAAATTTCGCTTGAAATATGTTTTTGATATAACAGAGACGGCCCATCCATGTTAATAACTGAAACCTGTAACAAATTAATAGAAATTTGCACTAATTAGTGTTGTGAAACTAATAAACAACTATAAACTCCAAGTGAAAGACTAATATCTAGAAAAATTAATAGCTAGAAAAGTATCTCACATTTCCTTGATCAGAGCCAACAGCAAGATGCCTTGAGCTATGATCTACAGTCATACAAATTACAGCACCAATAGTTTTTACGAGTTTCATACTCTGGACTACATGATCAACCCCTTTTTTTGCATTTCCTACTAAAGATTAACGGAAATACAAGTCGTTATTGACTGAAGTGTGAACTTTGCAGATTGTAAACTAAGAAACGCGATATACATAAGATACCTGTAAGGGACATGAAGCTGTTGGACGTGTAGGGTTCAGGTTTGAATCTGAATATACGAACCTGTAGATAATGTTCATATAATGCATACAATAAAAATAAGCAAGTGCGGTGAAAATTTGCGATGAACAGAAGGAAAATATCGATTTTTATCCATTCATAGTTGAATTAACCTCACCATTCCGCTCTGATCACCAGAAACAAGGAGAAGAGAGTCGATATCAAAATATAATTCTGTCAAGGGTACACCACTTAAAGAATGATCATTTTCACTCTGCATTAAGATGAATGAAAGAATAATCATAAGCAAAAAAAAAGTACACGTTCTTAGACTCAAATAAAGCTAACATTTGGACACAAACCAATATTTTTGGATTTGAAATATTACCTGCTGGTTTAATTGCAAAACTGGAATGAACAAGGGACATGATGCATCCCAAAAAGTTATGGCTCCATTTTTGTGTCCAGTTATGTACAAGTTTTTAATGTTTGAAAATCCAGAGAAGTTGGCAGAACTCAGGCTAATCCCATCTCTATGATTTGTTTCAATGGAAAAAAGCTGAGGATAATTTTTCAGCATCTGACTGTAGTACTGCAATAAAAAAGAAACATAACAGTAAAACAGTTAACATATCGAACACATTGGTAGCAGGATAATTTCACAGCCCTATTACCTCGTCTTCAGAATAGAACACATTGGTAGCGTTCGAGATGAATTTAGCTATGGTAATGCTTGAATCAGATAGTGGTAACCTCACCATAACTTCCTTTGGCAGGGAAGGAGTGTACTTAGATTGGCATTGCAATAGATACCTTTCAATCAAACTATCATCATACAGATATAGGTGTCCTGACTTTCCAAGCAAAATCAAAGAATTTTGTTTATGCTTGCTTTGCTCATTTGCGGATGATATAATCTCCATGTTAACACAGCATTCGGACAAGTTAAGTCCTAACTTAGTTGTGCGAGTTTCAGTATGTTCACTCAACAACACTACCTGATTCATACAATCATATCATTAAACATTACGGGTCAATTTGAAAATTTTGAATTGACTTATTTGAGTTTATTTATTGTCATACTTTACCTGCATCGAGTTAGAAGCTCCCATGACATATAATCTACTAGCCTTTCCTTCAGCATATATCCATTTTACGGATTCTATACACGTTTTATCTGATTTATATCCCAAGTTAAATTTGAACATTGGAGTGTGTTTTCCGCTATAATCAGATGCTAAGCCATTGCCGGTTGTTAGAGAAGGAATGCTCCAAATGAAGAGATCTCCATTGTTGTATCCTACAACCACTTTGCTTCCATAGGGACACGCCCAACATGCACAAGACACTTTCTTTGTTTCATTATGCAGTGGCTGCGACACATTTCCACCAGTTCTGAAAATGCATCTGCTTTCTTGAATATTCCATAGTATTATTTGGCTGTTTCTAAAGATGATGAGAACTCTGCTTTGATCATATTCAAGAAAAGAAGTTTGATTTTTCGTGTTGCGTAGAAAAATATCAATGAAGTAAACACACGATAAGCAAGCAATGTCTTAAAGGAAGGTAGGGTTTGTGAAAATCAGTATCACCTTTTACTTTCAGCTCCCGGTTGAGGCAATATGTGCGTCACAGTGATATCATCATCAAATACTTCAGTTGAATTCCCTACAAGATTATAAAAGAACTTATATGACAATATCTATATCTAAGAGTCTACTTGTTGTTACTGACTCGAGACCGAAAAAATTTTGAGGATCAAAATGATGATTTACTTGCAAAAATATGTATCCCATCTTACCAAAAGAAGCTGAGAGGGGTATGGAGTAGTTCATCTTCACCACATGCCAATTTTGATCAAGCTTCAAAACTGAAACATTGCCACTAGAAACTCCAATGTACCTGAAAATGCAGATACGTGTTCATAAAATTTGGTGCTTCTTCAAATTTTAATTATTTCTCAATAGCTTATTTTGAAGTAGAAGTTTTACTTACATGTAGAGGCTGTGTTGAATGATTGCAAAAGAAGTGATTTCTTCTTTAACAACGTACAAGTCACACAACAATTTCTTGTCTATGTCCCAAACCTAATTGTGAATATAAAAATTCTGAATAAATCTACTTAATGAAACAATTATAGCATAAAGTCTTATCATACAAATTTTTATGTATAAATTCCTCAAAAAAAAATGCGTGTGTTGTATTTCTTATGTATGTGTTACATAGAATATATGTATACTTACCTCAATATGATTATTTGAAGTGACATTTATAAGGATGTCTTGATTCAGGATGAACTATACATGCATAATAAACACCATAGTATCATTGTTAATTAGAAAACCATACTTAATATACTAGAAAATACATTTTCACAACATCAATTTCATGAGACATTTGAAAAGGTAAATAAATTATAACCTGTAAGAACTTGCTAGGCACTGGCTTATTGGATTCATGTAGGACTTGAGCATTATCTTTACCAAATAATTTAATCCTCCCATCACTTAAAAATGAAATTAGAAAATGTCATAAAAATAAATTTGAATCATAAGTTTAATAAAAAATGAAGATGTGTAGATGACATACTTGGTGGAAAGAGCCAATATGTTGTGAATACTGTGACAGGTAAAGTTGGTAGCACATGATGGTACACCATGATGGAATATCAGCCGTGGATCTACATCTCTAGCTTTTAATCCATCTAATGAATTTCCACCAACCTGTAATGCATATTATTATTTTATTAGACTAGATACATCTTTAACTGGATATCAAATTTTGGCATGATCTTTTTCTTACTTTCAATATTACAGTTTCTTTAAATTATTTTGTTTTATAGTTTTATCTCTTTTTATTTTTAAAATTAAATGAGTTTTTTTTATATAAATAAAATGGACGCATAAATTTTTATAACTTCTATTCCAATCCAATTGGAAACCAGAATTGTTAGGAGATTGGTGGTGTGGATTCTTGATACGATTATGCAAATCTTCGATGTGGTTACACCGATGATAGACATGCAAAATTATCACTCAAATGTTTAAGTTAGGAAATGAATGAAAAATGATAGAGCGAATTGTGTTTAGAATCATGTATAGTGACTTATATATGATGAATGATAATTGAACTTATTTCGTATTGGAGTTGTTGCCAACTCAAAACAGTTATCCTTAAGACTTATCGTGGCTTCACATTCAAAAAGCCTTTTAAGACACTGGGTCAGATTTTCTGCAGGATCCTTATGCGGAGAAGTGAAAGAGATCCGGGGGTACATGCACATTAAATATTAGTCTCACCACTAAGACATTTTACATGATTTCCTTACACAGTGGCCTAGATTGGTAGACTAGGGCGTATCGCTTTCCCTTATGATGCTATAGTGCACTCAAGTGACGTTGTATTATCAATAAAAGATCTGGCCATTATTTTTTCTCTTCCAATTTTCTTTCATAATGTATTGTTAATTTATCCATCTTGCTCTACTATATAAATATCATTTTGGTCTTCACCAACCCTTTCTTTCTTCTCCGAGTTCCGGTGATCTTTGATTTCACCACCTTCTATTTTTATCCGGGTTATGCGTTTCTTGATTCATCATTATTTTTGAGTTTCACTTGCCTTTAATCGTTTCTTCGCTTCACCTTTTATTTAGGTACCATTTATAATCCCCCTTTCTTTGTATTTTATTGCTTTGTTTTCTTGTATTTTCCATGGCCAATATAGAAAATATGCTCGCCAATATGATAAAGGACCCTGATGGTGGGATTCTTTGTCATCTGCGATATTTGAAAACCCAAATATTTTAAATGCCGATCCTTTAAAGGTTAATCGACCCAACCCCAGTCTTCTCGTTTTGAGCGACAATTTTAGGCATGGCGATGGTTTTATAGAAAGTGGCGATGAACCCTTTAGCGCCTTTACTAAGGAGAGTACTGAAGAATCTTTTAAAGAAGATAAAAAGATGAACTCCGATAACTTTAATACGAGAGACGTGGTTGTCCGTCTTTCCTCCTCTATCAGAGCTCATAAAGATTCAAATGTTGCTATAATAACTCAGAATGAGCGTCAAACTCACTATTTAACTATAACATTTAGGGATGCACATGGTCAAGATCCCAGCGATATAGAAATTAGGGATCACATTAATTTGTAGACCCAATCAACGATATTTGACCACATTATCTTTTTGATGGCAATCTAGTGGACATAGTTTGACAGATGCATGTTGGTTTGTTGGAGCCGGTTGGTGTTGGTTTATACCGCTGGGTGGATACTGAATTTGCCAGGGTGATTTCCATCTACGGAAGTGCGACTAGAGTGAAGGATGCTCACATAGAAGTGGATCCATCCCTTTGTTTGGTTGGTTTCCCATGTAGACTCCAGCAAAAAGATTTGCAGTTGTTTTGATAGGTGTGTTACATCCCCTTTTAGGAATGAATATTTTACCAATTGAAATTCAGGTTGCCCTTCAACGAAATTGAGGAAATGATGTTAAAGCACTTACAAATTTCCCATTCCCAACTACATTAGATAACTTGAGCTTTTGTTAAAATGTTTCAGTACGGACATGAATACTGGAATAAAGAGTCATCTACGAGCCTCTTATTTAATCTTTTCATTGTGTCGTATACCTCCAAGGATCCTTACCAAGGACAAGGATTGATTTCACTACATTAAACATCTAAAATGTTAGGTGTCTATATTGAAAGTTGGAAGCATTTAAATGATTGTTTCCTTTGGTGATTCCACAAACTTTGGAGTCCCATTATGTATTATGCATGGTCCCTGAGGAAGAACCTTCCCAACCAGCCCTTATGCCCCAGATCCAACTAAATATAAAGATAGGATCCAGAAGTGCTTGGCCTAGAGCCACTTCAACCGGAAGTCACACACATATACCATGCATAATACATTAATATTATCATAACCAAATAAATCACCTTGAGCATGACGAAAGGCAAAGTAAAAAGTCCAACAGTCGGCCTTCTTCAGCGACCATAGGTAATATAAAATGAGGCCGAAACAAGAATCCTGGTCAGGAAGAAGGGTCAGATAAGAGGTTCAAGTCGTCTGGTCGTGGAGTTGCAGGAATTACCATCACCAACACTAAAACCGCTCATCCCAAGTTTCCTACCACTCTCGTCTATCAAGTACGTTGGAATTCACAGGAAGCACGAGCCTGTTCCCCTGAACAAAACCTTGCTTGTATCCAAAGCCTTTATGACACAAGTAAATTTGAGTTTGAAGGCGGAGATAACCTTTCACATGTTTCAAGGTGCTTCCTTGATAACTCTTACAGTTTCTAGCTGGGAGAAGCACTTGCTCTAGGTAATCCTTCTAAATAGAAAGAGCCGTGGAAGGGCATTTGTTGCCTATGAACAAATTCAACTTCAAGAAAAAGTGTTCGAGCTTCAGTAGGAAGTGAAGAGGTTATCTAGTCTTCAAAATGAGGTGGATACCCATCACACCCTTCTAAGTTAGGTGCTATGGTGTCTAATCTACACGCATACATAAAGAATAAATTAAAGGCCCTTGAATAAGAAACGAATTTGGAGGAGACATTGTCCTCATGTGCCACTGCAACCGAGGAGGCTCTAGACACAGAAAAAAGGCTCACTAGAAGAAGATGACGACATTTAATAAATAGCTTAACGATGCAATCAACGAAGGCCTCAAGGGAGTTTTTGACGATTTCAAGAACACCAAGTGAAGATGTTGTATCTGTGTGTTTAGGTTCCTCGAAAGTGGATGAACCCGAAGAATGTGGTTGTTAACGAGGAGATTCTTAGCGACAATGAGAGAAATGAATGATGATATTTGTAATCTTTAATGTCATTGAGTCTCTTTGTAATGACATTAACTTGAATAAGGTTTTGTTTCTTAATAATTTATTTGCTTTGCTTTGTTTGGTGCTTTATAGTTTATACTGCTTTGTGCAATTTGTCATTTTGACAGCCCGTGACTTTGTTTGATCCTTTATTCTCCTATAATTTTATTTCATCGTTTTTGTATGCGGATTTGTTTCATTGTTTTTACCTACGATTTTGTTTCATCATTTATTTTCCTAAGATTTTGCTTCATTGTTTTGTCTTTAATGGTTCTGTTTCATCGTTACTCGTCATTTTGTTGGGAGTTGGAGTAATCTGATGTCATCGAGGATTGTGCCAGACTAAAGGTTAGACCCTCTTCCTCTCCCTCAAGTTTGAGCATGGTTTGAGGTCGACGTATCATAGACTTCTCCGCATATGCTCTGGACTTGCTAGCTGCCAAGAGAGAGGGGAAAAGAGGGTTAGGGGTATGCCAACTGCAACTTAGTGCACCATAATCTCCCTATACCCTGCTTTTTTTAATGAAAATTAACATAAATTCAACAAAGAGCATCTTATCATTCATATAAAAAATATTACATAAGAGGATAAGTAATTATAATCTTTGGGCGAACTTTGGAATACTTAGCTAAAATATGATTTGTGTTTTGCGGTGTTCCACTGATCGGGATGAGCTCTCCAGTCATAGTCTTTAGATTGTAGGCTCAGTTCCATGTGCTGATCTTGATCATGTACGATCCTTCTCAATTGTCCGCGAGTTTAACGTCTCCAAAATTTTCTCCTCTGACATTAACACAAGATCTTCAAGTTTAAATTATCGAGGTTAGACTCGCTTGTTGTATTTGAATGCTTCCGCTTGCTTGTCGACAACCCTCATGAGGGCGGTGGATTTCCTTCTCTCTTCCAAGAAATCTACCTCTTCTCTAATTGCTTAAGTGTTATCTTTTTCTAACAAAGGGTGCACCCTCTTCCAACTAAGCTCTTCTATCTTGATAAGGATGATGACTCCAGTCTTGTAAGTCAGTCGAAAGGGAGTCTCGCTGGTTGATGAATAAGGTGTATTTTGGTATGCCCAGAGGATGTGTGGGAGCTCATATGTCTAATTTCCCTTAGCCGCTTCAATTATTTGCTTTAACGTTCTAAAAACTACTCGGTTCGCTGCTTTGACCTGTACGTTTGTCTAAGGATGTTCTAGTGGCGTGAAATGCTACTCGACCTTCAAGTTTTCTAAAAGCTTCTTGAAGTTCTTATCTGTGAAATGCGTTTCATTACCTGTCTTGACGACTTGAGGGATCCCATACCTAGCTAGGATGTTCCTCTTGAAAAATTTCAAGATGTTAGCTAATGTGATATTTGCTAATGCTTTAGTTTCAATTAACTTGGTAAAGTAATCTATTGCCACTATTAGAGATTTAAGCTGCTCTGATGCTAAGGGGAAAGAGTCGGGAAAATACATCCTCTATTTTGAGAAAGGTCAAGGTGACATCAACATATATAATTGTGATTGGGGGGTATGAATATATTTGTAATGTTGGCATTGATCACATCTTTATACGTATTCTTTAGCATCCTAGACCATAGACGATCAATAGTACGTGATTTTGAGGACTTTCTTGGCCATAGCTCAAACACTTAAATATTGCCAAACTATTATTTTATGCACTTCAACTATAATATAAGAAGGTTCTTCTTTTTCCAAACATATATACCGTAAATAATGGAATCAGAACAAAACTGCATAATTGTTTTCAACTGAGACTGCTAATAATATTTTGCAGGTTCCCCTCGTGGAAGATGTTACGGAGGATTGTATTGTGTGGAAGGAAGAATGAAACAGAATCTACAGTGTTAAAACAAGTTATAAACCCAGGTGGCAGGAGAAACATAAATTCAAAAATGAAAGGATGGAAGGTGACTGGGGGAGTTTATGGAGAATTAAAGCGCACCTAAATCTAAACATCTTCTTTGGCGCTAATGTCGGGGCTGCCTTCCTACTAGGAAAAACCTCCGACAAAACTATGTTCCTTGCCCACATAATTGTCAGTTGTGTAATGGAAAATTGGAGAACGAGTGGCCCGTTTTCTTTGGGTGTGCATAACGAATAATTGATGGACTGTTGTAGGTCTTGATCATGTTATTAGGCCGCGGCTCGCCATAATGAATGATGCGCAGGAAGTGATCCAAGACATTTATAGTAAGGAAGATCTCAAAGTAACAGAGAGAGTGATGGTCATGGTTTGTGTGTTGTGGAGTAACATGAATAATTGGATATGAAATGAAGAGAAGAAGGAAGCCAACCACCTAAGATCACAAGGTTATCATCTGTGGCAGGATTGATTTTTGGCCCAAAAGCCATCGAGAGACAACACTAATAGGCCCAACATCATGATGCTTGGCAACCTCCTCCAAATGGTTGGTTGAAATGTAATGTGGATGCGGAGTTTAACGCCCAACTTGGCACGACTAATAGAGGGTGGTGTGTTAGAGATTGTGTTGGGCGTTTTAGGGTGACAGGTACATCATGGGATCATGGTCGGTATTCTATTGTCGAAGCGGAAGCGTTTTATTTGAAGGAAGCGATCCAAGGAGCAATCCAGTTAAACTTGAACCATATCGTCTTTGAAAGCGACTCACGTATATTGGTTCAAGCTACTCATGCAACTTCATCTGATAACTCTGAGTATAGTATGATTATTGCTATTATTAAAAATCTTTTAATTTCTCGTCACGACTTTAAGGTCAAGTCTGTTAAGTGTCAAGCTAATTGTGTTTTGCTCATACTTTAATTCGAGCGGTCAATTCTTGATCTCGACGCACGATTCTTTATTTGAATCCTCCTTATATTAAATATTATTTATTTAATGATATGAATTGAATTTTCTTTTAATAATATTATATGATCATTCCATTTAACCAAATGAGTTAATTAATTTTATGTCAAAAATTATTTTTGAAGCTCTCCACCAAAAAAATATATTTTTGAAGCTTTCAATAAGCTTATTGACGTGTAAAAGAAATAGCCAAGACTTTTTTTTAATAAAAAAATCATATAAAATATTAAAAAGTAACAAGCTTTTAAATTTGGTGCAATTATATATAAAGATTGATATATTAACAATTTTTAAGTTTAAATTAATTTTGTTTGGAACTCTAAGTACACTGATCTTTAGAATTTGAAGAGAAAAATTGATTTGACAAAATACAAGTTGCATATTGTACAATTACTAGAACAGGTTTTATTCAAGACTAGATTGAAAAATAACAAAATGTAGTCTCCAAAAAAAAAAAAAACTATTAAGACATATCCTAAATTTGAACGAAAAAAAATCATCTCCATCAATTTGATCATAAAGAGTTATACTAATTAATGAGAGAGATTTATTCATAATTGTAATAAACTGACATAAAATAAAATATCTATACTAAAAATGAAAGGTTGACTAAGAATCAATAGTTTTATGAATTGTAAAATCATAGTATAATGTAACATCTGAGATAGTTATATGCATATGCTGTTGATGTTGGAACAATTGTACATGTTTTGAGATTTTAATTAAACCAAGAACTAATTACTGAATAAGAAAATAAAATCACTAAACTATGATATGATATGAATCTATGAAAGTGAAGATCGATATTGACTTACCTTCTTATTAGAAGCCTTCTCCACAAGTTTCTTGACGAACATGATGAAGAGAAATTGGGTAATGTCAAGTTCTAATGTGCTTTGTGATAATCGAAAACAGATAAATTAATTTTATACTGCTTAATAAAAAGATTAGCATACACAATAACTTCTTTCAAAGATTTATACAAAAGACAAAACCAAAAAAATTGTTTTATCTATCTTTCATCGGTCTTCATGGGCTAATAAAATACTTATAAAAAATATATATATATATATATATATATATATATATATATATATATATATATATATATATATATATATATATATATATATATATATATATATATATATATATATATATATATATATATATATATATATATATATATATATATATATATATATATAGTTTTTAGTTTTTGTTGTTTTATTTTAATTTGTATAATATAATTTCTTAATATCGAAGTTAATTTCTACAATATATATGTTTTTTTATACAAAACTTCTAGAGTATGTTGACTATACATATTGATTTTAATTTTTGGTTTCTTAAAAAATATTAATATATAAAGTAATAAAAATAATAAATACTCTAGAAGCTAATTTAACAAAAATAAAAAAAATATTTTAGAAGCTAACTTAACAAAAATAAATAAATAAAACAATGAAAATTAAAAGATAAAAAATGATATGTTTGTAAGAATAAAATGTTAAAAAAACTAAGCAAAATTTTCATATTTTGTTAGATTTGTGAGATTAATAAAAAATAATGCAAAAACACATTAAAATTAATAATAAATAAAAAATATAGAGATTTAAGAAGTATTTCTCACACAATATCTCCAATTCAGTTTCACTAATTTTTTTTTCTTTTCTAAATATTTCTTAGTTTTTTATCAAATATTTTTCTCTCATCCCGTTTTTGTATGAATTTAGGAAAATATTTGTTACCAGAGTCGACCCCATCTATGTGCCACTTTTAAATATTGACTCCAATAAAATAAAAAATAAAGTAGAAAATAATATTACAAATATTAAATAGTAAAAGAGAAATAATATTATAAATCTTTAAATAATAAAAGTGTAGGTACTAAAGATCAAATTATTAATCTTTGACTAAAAAATAAGCTTTCTTAATAAAGTATTTAGACCCTAGTAGAAAAGAGTTTATAGAAGAATTAATATTTCACTCTTCAAATTATATATGTTATATCAATTTTTTTATTTCACAATTATCTTTGTTGAGATATAAATAAATTTTCGGTCAAAATTTTCAACCGAAATTTTTGGTAAATTTATTGAAATTTTTGGTACACACGAAATTTTTGATACATTCTACAAAATTTTCGATGTATGTAAATTTTCGACAGTGTATTTAAAATTTCAGGTATTTTAGAAATTTCACATTTACTAAGCAGTATCGAAAATTTTAGTTATACTGAAATTTACGGTAGTTTAATTATTCAAGTTTTTTTAACGGTTGAGATTTTGTCGATATCTTTGAAGGGTTCAGATTGCACCGACAAATTTGTGTGATTTAGAATGCATCACCATTTATATAAATAGAGACAAATATTACAAAGAAAAACATCTCAAACAATGCCTCTTCCTCAATTTCTGATTAAGGCTGAAGTATATTTCAACGGAAACAACCCTGCTGTTGAGTTCAGCTTCCAGATAACACCATATCCTTCGATCAGGCACTCCTGTAAGAATAAAAAATAAAATACATCAACTTTCAAACACTTGAAAAAGTATGCAATTAAAGAAAACAAAATATATACCTCACCATGCCATATCCTATAAGCGAAACGGTCAACAAATTATGTCAGCACATACCTGTCTGGAGGTCCTCCTAGAAAGACTCAATCAGCGTGAACTAATGGCTCCGTAGACACACGAGTCATATGTCTATATCACCGTGGGACACCTCGTCAACGCGCTTAACAACAACCTCATCAACCTGCTCTACAATCTCCTCAGCTGCCAGCTCCACAACCTGCTCGGCTGCCGGCTCAACTGCGCCCTCCATAACAGACACAACCTCCTCAATATGCTGCTCAATAGTAGGCTCAATCACAGGCCCAAGAGCAGGAGCAGGAGTATGTACCTCCTCAGCGGTAGAAACTCTAAGTCCTCGATGACGGGGTGCGCGGAGCTGCGCCTGCTGCTTAACCATTTGTTTCTGGTGAGAACCGATCGGAAGACATCGTCCAACCTGTAGCTCGGAAGCCTATGTCTCGTCAGCCCAGACCTGAGCTTCCACTCTATTTGCCACCCTACCCGCAACAGAACCATCTTTGCATCTGGTCCTCACTAAAACATTGAAAAAATTAGAAAAATATGTACTACCGGAAATTCTAAATTTCCGGTATTTTAAAAAAAAATTTGAATTACCGGAAATTTTAAAATTTTTGATACATGCTATTAAGCTACAAAAACTTTAAAATTTCAGGTACAAAAGATACACGTATTAATCGAAAATTGCAAAATTTCCAATTCAAATATACCAGATATTTTGAAAATTCTGTTATAATGTATTAGAAATTTTATAAATATATCGTAAATTTCTTACTTGTTCAGTAAATTTCCGACATCGCCTCTAAATTTCCGATATCGTCCTGGAAATTTCAAATTTTCGATGTGGTACCACAAATTTGAAAATTTTGAAATTTTTTTGAGTTTGGATAATTTTGTCTTTTCATATCCTTTAGAAGGGTGACATATATAATCGAGGGGTGAGATGTTAATTTCTCGAGCTTCTAGTAAGGACAAATGTCAAATACTTCTTAAATTTTGACTAAACAAAAAAAAGCTTCTTTACTGCTAACTAGCTTATATTATATATTATTTTAAACAACTAATATTCTTATATTTAGTTCAAATTTATAATTTATAAAAAAAGGATTTTGAACCCTTATTTTTCAGACGCCTTGGACCATCGGTCTGTGGTTACATGGGCCAAGACCGACCCTATTTGTTACTTGTTGTAGAAAAAAAAAATGAAAAACAACAATTATTTTTATAACCAATAAATTAAATAAATAAATAGTTAACATTTTCTTTTTCTTAAATTTTTTTAAACCAATTTCTAATTTTTTTGTTGTTTCTCCTTAGTTTTCTACATGTTGATCAACAATCTCTCATCTAAAGATTGATTTCGATTTATCTTCACATCTCGATTATATAACAATTATTCTCAGACTTTTATTGTAGTATGTAAATTGAAATTGAGCACAACTTCAACTTGTTGATACTCACCACTTTTGTTAACATGTATGCCAAATTCTCACTTTTTTGAATCTTACTGGATGTGAACACTTTATTCTCAAACATAGATATGATGAAGTGATAGCAAAGATTAAGGATGACAAAACAATCTGTATACACTAATATTTCTACATAAAATCTGTTACGAGTACGAGACAAATAATTTAATGGATATCTGCTAATAAAATAAATAAATATTTAAATACTCATTTTTAATGGATACAAATGCAAATTTATTGATACCGTACCCGCAAATATCCGTATCCATTAATAAATTATAAAGATCATTTAAATATTCTTAGTCTATTATACTCTGTCCTTTCATCTTCTAATAAAAATTAGTCTTCTCATATTTTTTTGACATTTTCTTTAAAGAAAACCTTTTATATTCCATACAAATTTTATTTGACCATTTCATATTTAAACTTCTTCTATAATCTAAACCTCACTTCCACAATTTCAATATTCAACCAACCAATATTGCCATTCCCCCGTTCAATCAGTGTTTCCTTTCCTACTCCATTGTTGTCCACTCTTCCACCATAAGTCACAATCACATTATCTCCCATTTGTTTTGATTAAAAATTAAATGTATGGATTATGTTTGGGTGATAATTGTTATTATCTATTGGTAAAAAAGAAGGAAATTAACGTGATGAAATTTTATTGTTAAATTGAGAGCGAATTCCATAGATGTTATGTGATAATAACTTTTTGTGAATTTAGAAGAAGCTGATTTTTTTTCAAAATATAATTTTAGAAAAAAAATGTTATCCATGGATATCTGTAAATATCCGCAGGTACCTTAAAACTCATAGATTACCCGCTTAGCAGATATCCGCATGAATATGGGGCAAACAAGGATATCATATTTATCCAACGGGATAAATATATATCATTCTATCTGACCCATGAATATCAATTTACATCCATAACAAAAATAAATATGTTTTGTTCTCGAATGAAATGCATAACTCTTTTCTAGATGTATTACACTATGACTATCACTATACAAACCACTCATCTCTTTTGTGAAACCCAACTCTACTAATAATCCTCGAAGCCATATCAACTCTTTGTTGGTTTTTGTATGTGATACATACTTAATCTCTATATTGAATAAAACAACAATATTTTGTATCCGTGATATTCAAATAACGACTCTAGTACCAACTGTAAATATATAGCCGATTGTACTTCTTCGGTGATCAACATTACCAGTAAAGTCTGCATCAATGTGGCCTTGTATTTTTTTTCCATTTGCTAAAGTACAAACACTTTATAGTGGTGCCTCACATATACCTCAAAACTTTCTTAACTGCTTTCCAATGCGCCTTACCTAGATTAAAAATAAACCTACTACTAAATCCCTTTGCATGGAAAATGTTTGGTCTCGTACAAACTATTGTGTACATTAAACTTTCAATGCCTTAAGCATACAAAATCTTATCCATAGATTCTCTTTCTTCCTCCGTCTTAGGTGACTGATCCTAAGATAAGCGGAAATGTCTTGTCAAAGGTATGTTAATCGGTTTGGCATTGTCTATGTTATAATTTTGAAAAATACAAGTGATGTAATCTGACTGAGATAACTAAAAAAAAAATCATTTTTGTATATATCCCGTAATTTGCATACCAATTATAATTTTTGTAGATACTAAGTCCTTCATGTCAAACTCTTTTGATAACTACATCTTCAAGTTTTTAAACTCGTCCACATCTGAGCATAGTACCAACATATCATCCATATAACGTAACAAAATGATATAACTAGACATAAATCTATT